ATTCTGGGAGTTGAAGTCCACTCATCTTAAAGTGGCCAAGTTTGGACAACACTGGTCTAGAGGATGTGATGGGAAAAGACAGAAAAATGCAAAAGAAAGAGGCCAACTCATATGCCAGTACTTAGTGAAAGGACGTGCAAGACTTGCCTCTGTTTTTCTCCTGGATCATTGTACAGTTTGGAAGAAAGCAGATCCTTAATCCAGAATGTGAATGGTGAGCTTTGCGTACAGCGGCTTAGTTACCTGGTTCTTTTAGTAGAGACAATTCAGGGAGAGGAGGGCCAAGCGGAGCCAGGACAACCAGAAAGCTTCCATGCCACCCAACTTCAATGAGGGCCTTGGTGAGTTTTGGGCTCCAGGATGGCTTCAAGCGAGCTGCACAGCTTGTGCTTCTTTCTGTGTTCAGAGTGCAAAGGGTGTCATTGAATGCCTGAAGATCGTCACCCGGGCCAAGTCGCAGCGCATTGCCAAGTTTGCCTTTGATTTTGCCACCAAGAAGAGGCGTTCCAAGGTCACTGCAGTGCACAAGGCTAACATCATGTAAGTGAGCTGCCTGCCTCTGTGGATTGGGGCCAGGAGTGAGTGCCTTCTGATCTTCCTCCGGATCTCTGGCAGCTTCGGGTGGCGGCTGCCTTTCTTATGTGTTGGCCCCTGGCTGTGGCACCTCAGAGCCCACGGGGATCCCCACTTTGCAGCAAAGAACACACTATAGGTGCAAGAACCAAGGTGTGAAAAAAACATGCGTGTTGAGGTTGGGGAAGTTGAGGTGGGCTACTCCGGTGCAGAATTGGGCACTGGACTGTGCCCCCCTCTCTTCTTTCTCTCCTTATCAGGGCAGATTCTGGTACTGACAGGCCATTGCTTGGTGGCACAGTTTAAAAGACCTTGTCCTGCCCCCCTCAGTTTTGGGCCTGGGGAGAAGTATTGACCATGGGCACAGTCTGAGGCTGCTCTTGGTGCTCCTTTTAGCGCTCCTGTAGCAGGATGCAGGAACAAACGCATCCGTGCCACCCAGCAGCTTCCAGGGCCGGTTTCCTCCCACCCTTGGACTTGGCTGCCTGCCGAGAAGCCGCTGCAGCTTTGCACCTCCTCGTTCCCCGACCCGGCGCACTTGGCCCCTTTGGTTCAGGCTGAACCTTCTGGGCTGCGGCTGGGTCACTCCTTGGAAAGCAGGTTGTCTTTGGCTGCTGTGCTGTAGTTAGCTTTGCATGCTGGTCTTCTATTATGACTGCAATAAAAGTTTGATTTGATTTGATTTGATTTGATTAGCTGGCATTGTGGGTGAGCAGCATCTGTGCAAGAGCTTGTCTCTCTCCCCTTCCAGGAAGCTGGGCGATGGACTCTTCCTTCGCTGCTGTGAAGAGGTGGCCGAGCTGTATCCCAAGATCACGTTCGACACCATGATCATAGACAACTGCTGCATGCAGGTGGGGCTGCCCTGTCCCGCACCTGTGTGAGACGCGAAGAGGAGGGGCACCGGCTGGGGAGGGGCTCTGCTGGTTGGGTGGGGCCGGCCGGCACCAACAAGGCCAGAGGGACTTCACCTTTTCCCCAGCAGCCATCCTTGGTGGTTTCCAGCAGTTTGGCAGCCGCTTGGTTTGGCTACCAGGAGGAAATAGAAGAAAAGATCCATACAGTGGTTTGGATCCCATGGATCTGAAAGAGCCCAAAATAGATTGGATAATTTGTGGTTCGGGTGCCAGCCCTTGCTTGAGTTCGAGCCTGAAGTCAGAACGAGGCTTCTGCGCTGGGCATAGCAGATTCTGAGAACCTGGCAGCGGTAGCTTATTAGCCTGGGCTCAACGCTCGCCAATGGTCTGGAGCGGTTCTGGCTCCCCTTCGCTCAGTGGCTTCAGGCGGAGGCAAGAGAGCCCCCTCCCTGGGGGCTCTCATGGGGGTTGGATTCCATGGCCCCGCCCAGCTCTGGGGTTCTGTGATTTTATGTGTAGTGAGCACAGCTAGTTTTTCAGAATGCCCAGAAGTGTGCTTTGTTTCTTGCTGCTGCAGAAAAAGAACAAATCCAGTCCCGGGTTGGACAGCCTGCCCCTATTCCCACTTCAGGCCTGTCATTTCCAAGCGGGGTCTTGTGTGTGACCTTCTCAGACCTCTAAGTAGCCACTGCAGTTTCACCCTTTGACCCGCCAGCGTGCTGCTTGGGGAGGGACCCTCAGGCCCCGGAGGCCATTCTCTGCGATGCAGCAGGCTGGACTGGGGCCCCTTCTTTCGTGGAGGGGCACAGCACGCAGCAGCTGTGGGGCCTGGGATGATGCAAGGAAGCTTCCTTGGGCTGCTCTTTGGACGCCGAGTCCCTCCCTCTGCCGTGCCCAGGCCACGTTCAGGTGCTTCTCTGGCACTGTGGCTGAGCAGGGCGGATGGGACAGACTGGATCCTCCACGTTCCCTGCAAACTGACAAAAACCTGCCAATTTCTGTACAGCTTTGACATGCAGGATCTTGGGGAGTCCAATCCAACAAGTGGCCATCCTTGTTAAAAAGCCTCTGGGGGAAAAGGGAGCTGGACTTCCAGCCCCCACAGTGTTCTCCAAGGGCCATTAGGCTGTTCTGTTCCAGGAGGGCAGGGCGGGCTTTGCCACAGAGACCTCGTGCGTGTCGGGAGTGCATCCTTGGTGCTGTTGTGTGTGGATACTGCGCAGTGGCCAAGCAGGAATCTCTGGCCCGATTCAGCTTGGGATGAGCTCTGAAGCCAGATCTTTCATGGAGGGATACGTGCATGTGTTTTTCAGCTGGTGCAAAACCCTTACCAGTTTGACGTCTTGGTCATGCCCAACTTGTATGGCAACATCATCGACAACCTGGCAGCCGGCCTGGTGGGCGGGGCCGGCGTGGTTCCGGGGGAGAGCTACAGCGCTGACTTCGCTGTGTTTGAAATGGTGAGGACCAGGCTGGATCTGGTGCTGCCCCTGTCTCCCACCACTTCCCTTGGGGAGTTCGGCCCCAGCTGGCGTGCTTTATGCTCCTGAAGGTATTTTTCTGCTGCTCTTCCAGGGTGCCCGTCACCCCTTTGCCCAAGCTGTTGGGAGGAATATCGCCAACCCCACGGCCATGCTGCTCTCCTCGGCCAACATGCTGCGGCATCTGAAGTAGGTTTCCTGAGCTGCGGGCGCTGGGCTGGGTGGACCTGGGAGGGCAAGATGGAGGATTGGCCTACCTCACAGGGTAATCGTGAAGGACAAACTGAGCCTCCCCTTTCTAAAGTGTGTCCCTCCTCTGCTCCCGACCAGCTTGGAGTATCACTCCGCCATGATTTCAGATGCAGTGAAGAAGGTGATCAAGGTCGGCAAGGTGAGTGGCGATGGCTGTCCTTGTGTGCTTGGTGCTGGGCAGGTCTCCGCTTTGCTTTCTCTTTGTTTCCAGCTGGCAGGTTTTTCGGAGGAGGAGGAGTTGGTGGTCCTGGGGGTGGGGGAAAGCCCCAGACAGGCAGGCAGAGACGGTTTCTCCTCGTCAGTGACCGCTGCGGATTTGGTTCTGTGGGTGGGGAGGCTGATGAGCTGCTGCCGTGGCCTGGCTTCCTGGGGTGCTGCTTGTGGTTGTGTCCCGTCGCCACTGAGCTCTCTGTCCTGTCCATTTTCTTTCTGTTCTTTCGGCCCTGTGCTTACGGCCATTTTTTCCCCTCCCCCTTCCCTGTGTTGGATTGTAGGTGCGGACACGGGACATGGGCGGTTATTCTACCACCTCGGACTTCATCAAGTCTGTGATTGACCACCTCCACCCCCACTATGGTGTCTAGGCTCGGGCTCCCCCTGACGCACACCTGCCCCCAGCAGGCCCACTCCAGCCGCCTCTCATAGCCAGACCCAGACAGAGCTGCCCAGCCCCCGCTGGGGAAGAAACCATCTTCTCCCTTCTCCCACCTCTTGGGGCGCTCACAGCCCTGCGGAGATTGGTCTGCTCCAGCTGGAGGGGACGGGACCCGTCCTGGCCCAATGGGGAATGGCTTCCTTGGTTGCCGGCTGGAACCGGCTGTGGGTCCCGTCTCCCTGGGGGGGTCCCTTTTCAGTATAGGTTGTTCTGTGACCCTTGTTGTCGGGGGCTGTCTCCAGGGCCCCCTGCTCTGAGGCATGCCCTTGGGGTAGCAGCGGGCTGGAGGGAAAGGGGGTGGGGGTGCATGTTAAGAGAAGGGAAAGCGCTTCCTGGAGGGCTCTTGAAGGAAGGCTGGGGGGGTAAACGTCCTTGCAGAGTTGGTAGAGCCCCCCTGGCTGGAGAGTAGCTTTTCAGCCCTGTGGAGTGGAATACCATCCGGCATCCTTGCAAGAATCTGCCAGGGGCTTGTGGGGGTGCTGGGGAGAGTTTGCCACGGGGGTCATCCTGGTTTGGGTGGTGAGTGGGCTTGGGAGTCCCCGGGGACAGCGCTTTCTGGGCTCAGCCCGCGTGCGTGACATGTAACCTGCGGCCACTGTCTATTCTGCTTGTGAATAAAGGGTTTTTCATGCCAGCTCTGCTCCTTCCGGGGGCTCCGCGTCAGCTGACTCCTGGCGGGCGACGGTCCCAGCAGACCAAAAGGGTTCTTCGACGCTGCGGGGGGGCATAAGGGTTTGTGACCATCGCAACTGGCGCTCCTCGGCTGCACCTCCCAAGCAGCCCAGGCGCACAGCACAATGTCTGCTGCTCCCCTGTCTCTGGAGGGCTGCTCCCTCGATCCCCTTCGCCGTTCATGGTTGCTTCCCACCCCCAAAGCCTCAGTTCTGCGGGCTGAAAAAGAGGGGGAGCCGTCGCCAGTGCCCCCCTAGCGCCGAGTGCAGCAGAGGAGCCACCAGGAGGGATGCTCCCCAAGCTGCCCTGCCTGCTTGGGAAGGTGCCCTTGCCCACGGCGTGGCTTGGGACGTCGCTGGAAGCCAGCCCTCAGATTTCCTTCCTCATGGCAGAGCTGAGCCCTTGGAGGGGCCCCTGGACTGCTCCCCGCGATCCAGAAAACACTCTTGGCAGCCTTTCCCTCCAGAGAGGCCCCTCTTTGGAGCCTTCCTCACTGGCACCCCCTCAGGAATTGAGGCTTTATGGGCTTTGCCAGCCTTGTCCAGTTCAGCCCCCTCCCCGGCTACTGCAGAGAAGATGACCGAGTGGCATTTTTTTCTAGTGCACATGTTTCCTTCGTCTTGATTCAATTGTGGGGGGAAAATATCTGCGGAATAGTCAAACAGATGAGTTCTTGGACTAGTTGACAAATGGCAGCTATTGAAAATGTGCAGCACCTCCGGAAGGAGTCTTTGGTGTACTGGGAATTGGCCGACAGAGCCATTTGAAAGAGGGCCGGATGGGTTCACGGGGGAGGGTCAGGCTTTTGGGGGCTGCTGACAGGAATGGCCTTTTCCCCCCTCCTGAGTAAGAGGCAGCGGGACTCAAGTACGACTTGCTGGAGGTGAGGCCTCAGCCGCCCTCCTCCGGCCTTGCCCCGTGAAGTCGGCAAAGGCACGCGGTTGGCCCCTGAGCCCGTAGAAGGCTGGGCCGCGGACCTGATGCGCCCAGTGCGTTCTTAGGTCCTCAGTGCGATGTGGATTTAATTTTGCTCAGGCTGCAGTACTGAACCATTTACTTTGGAGTAAATCCCTTTAAAATTAATGGATTTATTTCTGAGAAGCTGGGGGGAAGACCTCCCTGGTAAGCTGTGTGCTCCAACTAAATTGATGGAAAACCAAGGTAGAAAACACAAAACAGCGCTGTTCCAGGGGAAGTCCTGCCTTAGTCACCCTCGGGAATTCTCAGTTTCAGTCAGGGATGGGATGATCTAGTAGACACCGTTAGAGTTCCTCAAAGCGTTTGGCAGTATTCCCCATAAAAGGTGTTAATCCTCGGGTATGGCTAGCATCTAAGAGAAGCAAATGGAAAGAAGGCTGAGGCTGGCCCTGGTCTGTGACTGCTCTGGAGCCAGCGGTGAGGTGGCCAGGCCCCGAGCGGGTGGGGTGGCGAAAGGATGAGCGGCTGCATGGACCCCCGGCTCTCAGTGGAGTGGATGGGCCACTGGAAGTAAGCGTGAAGTGATGCGCATTGTGGAAAAGCCATGATTTCCCCACCACGGGGGCCAAGGCCTGGTGCTGTCGGGGTCGTGCGGAAGAGCATAGTAAGAAGAGTCCAACGGGAAAAGCAAAGCTGATAAATTGTAGGCTGGAATATGACCTGGAAGGCCGTGCACTGATTAGTGCATCTTAGACATACTGTGGAGCTGAAGGAGTTGCTCAAAAAGGGAAGCACGGCTGAGGATTTGGGGGGGCTCTCCTTAGAGGGAAGTCCAGTCTGGGGCTTTGAGGATTGGGAAAAGTGTAACCCAAGTTGGCGGGGGTAGGCACAGGCACCCTCCTGGTGCCGCTTGGCTGCTCCTTAAAGGAAAGGAGGGGCTCCTGTAAGGCACAGTCCACAGGTGCAGGGAGGACTTCGTCTGCTGTGAGTCTGACAACCGTATGCCTCTCTGCACGACTGGGCATGGGAGGGGGGGAGGCAGCTCTTGCTCACACACCTGGCGTTTCCCCGATGGCACTGGTGGGAAGTAGGCAGAACTTTTCAGAAGTTTTTATCGGAGTGCGAGAACAGGAATTACTGCAAGAAGTGATGCCTGCTAATTTGAAGGTCTTGATAGAGGGGGAGGCTATCGGTGCCAGGTACGTGCCACCTCTTGGGGCAGACTGGATGCTAATGCAAGTGGCAAGGTTTTGACTGACTGTCCTTGTCCATTTGGGGCAAAGAAGATGGCACCTGGCCCCATTTAGGCCTACCAGCCCCTAAACTAATAGTTGCATTGTGCAGTTACTTGTGTTATGCGCACGTGCACGCTGAAATGCTTACTGTGAGTCGGTGCACGCACCAGGAGAAAGTCGGGAGCTTTTCCGGAGGTGCCTGGGTGACCTCTCTGGAAAAGGTGATGCTGTTGGACTCCTCTAGTGCTCCAAAACCAGGAACATTTGCCATGCTGCTTCATCTCCTTTAATTCAAGGTCATGCTATCTCAACCAATTAAAAAAACCGGTTTTCTTAGTTCACTGAAGCCTGCAACACCCGTTAAACAGAATAATTCTGCTTTGAAAAAGCACAAATGTGATTGGGTGAAAGTATTTTCCGCTCTATCTCCACTTTGGAATCTTCTTCAGAAACTTGAAATATTTTTCTCAGCTGAGATACCTTGGCAGTCATTCCTTTAGCGGCAAGAAGACTCCCCTGGATGCCTTGCTCTGAGACGGGTCCCTGGCCAGGCAGGCTGCGCAGGAGCTGGCAATGATTTGGAAGCGCTCTGGATCCCCCAAGAGCACAGCCCCTGGCTTTTTGGCAAGGCTTCCAAGGGACAGATGTTGAAGGTAACTGAAACACCATGATCTGAATTTTAGCCGAGTGTTGCATCTCCGCTGCTCTTCTCTTGGCAGGTGCGAACTGCAGACATGGGAGGCTATGCCACGTCTGATGACTTCACCCGTGCGGTGATTGCAGCTCTGACTGACTAGAATGACCCAAGAAACTCCACTGGGGTGGCAATTCCAGGCTGCTTGCTTTTTCTTCTAATTTATTGTGCCTGTTCACGTTGCCTAGATGCATGTAATAAAAGGAGCCGTTGGCTCTGTGCTATGAGCAGCTTGGCCCTGGGGTGTCTGGGGGTTGGGGAGGAAAAGGGGGCTGTAGCAATGCTAGCTCTCCAGAAGTTTGTCAGACCAAGGACTCAGGTCCAGCTGACTGCAAGGAGGCACGCCTTGTGGAAGAGACCAGCTGCTGGGGGCGGCAAGGTAGCAGGAGAGGCAGTTTCTGGGTTGGCAAGGCTGTGTGAGCTGAGACAAGTCTCAGTGCAGCATATTTGCTGGGGCAGCAAGTGGCTGAGAAATGCACTTGAGCTCCAAGGGAAGGGGTTGACCCAGGTGGGCCCTGCGCTTCAGAGCGTGACCTTGCAAGGGGTTTGGGGTAGAAAGGGGTGGGGGGCGACAATGGCAGGTATAAGCCACCTCCACAGGCCAGTTGGTGGGGCTACATGGGGTCACTGGTGAGGTCCTTGGGGTTCTCTGGCTCTGCAGGTCAGGCAAGGACTTGAGAGTTTGGTCCTGGGCTGCACATATTCTCTTCTGTTGGTTTTGTTGGTGAGAGCATGATGCCCAGCCTGGGGTATCACAGCCCTGGGAGCCAAATGTGGCTGCAGGTAGCACGGGTGCTTGACTCCCCCAAGAGCAGCTGCCTACAATGCCTCGGCCCCCTCTCTGGGAGCCTGATTGCGACCAGACCTAAAGGGCCTGGCGCAGCAGCTGAAAGATGGTGGTGGTGGGGGGAGTTCATTCAGTGCCAGCTTCAGCTCCAGGGTGAGCCATCATGAGGCAGCAAGGTGGCTTTAGGGCTGGGCAAGTTGACAAAGAGCAAGACAACACCTGGGCTCAGCTGGCTTTGATGCTCCGGGCAGAGCCCTTGGGAAGCTGAAACCAGCAGCTCGTGTTTTACTCAGGGTTTAATGCTGGGGCTGGGCGGGTTTAGGGTCAGGGGGGTGTCTTTCTCTAGCAGGCTGTCTAGTGGGAGGCAAAGGTTTAGGGAATGCAACAGCCCCCTAAAAGCATTAGTGCCGGGAAGTCAAGCTGCCCATGAGTGAGTGAGTCATCCACGTGGCCCTCTGTGTTCAACGGAGGAGTATTTCCAATCATTGAGACAAACCCCAGCTGTTTGGGGTGAGCTAAAAACTACCAATCCATGTGCCCCATTTCAAGCCTAACCAAAGCCGTCTGCTTCCCTGACCATGGCCTTCAGCTGGGACAGCCTGACAAAGCTGAGCCTCCCTACCCTCGTTCTCCCCAAAGAGGATCAGGACAAGGGAGGAGCTGCTATAGGAAAAAGTAGTATGCTTTTATTATTTCTGGCAGGCGGAGGACAGTTCAGGTGTATAGTCCTTCTGCAGCGGAAGCAGCTTCTGCTGGCCCCCGTCCCCCACTGAGGGGGCAGCGCAGAGGCCTCTCGGGTGGTCATGGCTGGCCTGCTTCTCCAAGGAGCCCGCCCGGAGCTGCTGAGCGCTTCCCTCTGCCTTTCAGAAGACGCCCGGCCCATGAGCAGCTGCCTCGGGCCCTCGGAGCAATGAAGCCCTGGTGCCGAGACCAGACGCCTTGCGCCAGATTCCAGTTCGTGGCCTCCAATCTGGTTGCCTTGAAAGTACAGGACTGTGGAAAAAGATACCACAGAACGTGGTTTAAACAAGCAAAACTGGACGGCCTCAGCCTCAGGCTGGACTCCTCCGCACTGCACGCTAGTCTTCCTCCTCTTCCGTCCTGGCTTTTTTCTTTTTCGTCCTCTTCCCCTTGGCGGGGGGCTGCTCTGCAGCAGCCGGCTGCTGCTGGCGCCGCTTCTTCTTCGGCAAGGGCGCTTCCTCTGCCAGGCCATTGTCAGCAGGCTCTGGCTCTACCTCTTGGGGCTTCCTTTTCTTCTTCTTGGGCTCAGCCTTGTTTTCCTGAGGAGAAAGCACACGCGTCAGGGCAACCCTTCTGCAGGACCTCTACGCATGACTGTCCTGCTCAGGGCCATACGGAGTGCAAACTGCTGGTTTTTAGGGCAGTCTGAGAACCTTCCCTCTCAAGGTTTCCGGGGCTCTTTGTTCTTTCAAGGTTGACAGCAACTGCAGTTCCTGAACCACCAAGGGGGGTGGGGGTGGGGGTAAAACAACTCAACCTCTCCTGGAGACTCAAGGACGGAGTTCTGCATTTCTGCTGCTTTTGCAGCTGCTGCCAGAGCCTCCTGGCGCCGTTTCTCCTGCTTCAGTTTCTTCTTTTGCTTCTTCTCCAACTTCCTTTTCATTTCAGCTGCTACTTCAGATGCCTGTAAAGGGAAAGGACTGTCACTAGGGCTCAACTCCACAACCTCCCCGCCGACGGGCGTATGTTGGGTCAGGCTCATTAAATCAGCTTTGGCCTCCACTGGCAGATTGGTCAGGCTCAGAGTCCTCATCACACCCAACAAGATAGCCAGCCAGGCACACGCCTCCTCGGTATTCACCTCCACGACAGCTTCTTTCATGACGTCCAGGTTCTTGCGGGGGGTCTCCCCGGTTTCATAGAAGGCCAGGCGTTCTTCTACCTGTTCTCGCAACTTGTCTCCAAAGACAGAGGTTGGGACTTCTGGAAAGGAGAGGAGGACAGCAAGGCTGAAGCTGGTTACGCTACCATGCCCAGAACGGCTGCCAGTAAAAGTGTTACCCTGCCGTCATCCCTTCCTCTTCCTCCCTTAAATTGCTGGCTGTGCTCAGATATTTTAATGTCACCATTCACCGTGCGTGAAATGCTGCTGACGAAAAATGTAACCATCACGGCAAAGCCACAAAGCCTCTTGGCGAGCCACACCCACTTCCGAGCCCACCTGAGAAGCAGTCGATGCGGGATGCAATGGTGCACTTGTTGGCCAGGTAGCGGGAGATGCGCCCCTTGTTCTTGGCCGCTGCTCGCCCAATGAAGGTAGAATGGAATATCAAGCCGTATTTGGGAGTGTTCCCCCGGGTCTTCAGGGCCCTGCAATCATGCAGATGCTCTCCTTGGCACCGTTTCAGCCATCCCCATGGGGGAAAGGGGGAGGCTGGCCGCAGCCCGAGAGGGGCATGGCCAGCAACGCCTGGCCAGGGTTCAGCTCAGCCGCTGGGGGTTTGCCCGCCACCGCTCCAGCCTCCCCAGAGGGCTACCTGAAGAGGGCCTTCTCTGCTCCCAGGATCTGGACTGTTGAGGCTGGATACTTGGCCAGGTTGGTCAAGCTGCCCGCATGGGAGATGAGACGAGCTCCCACCTGCAGAGAGAGGACAGCCCCCCAGTTTATTTCCTTAGTGCGATCTGTGGGGCCACCCTTCCTGCCCTGGTGACTCTAGGCAGCTGGCAGTAAATAAAAACAAAACTAAAATATGATCAAGACAACATCAGAAAACCCGCAAAGACAACGGAGGTAAAAAGCCAATCGACAATAACTCCAACCACAATCACGGGAGCTCCAACTACTTGACCCCCCAAGCCTTCTTGGTCCTGTGGCTTGGTAAACCCAAATAAACCCACTTTACTTCTGTCCGCTCCTGCCTGAAGCTACCAGGCTGAGAACAGAAAGGAGACTTGTTCCTTCTACCTGCCTGGCTATCTCCCAACACCAACCCCAAGGAGCAGCCGGAGGCAAAACACCACTTAACCCTTTCCCTGGCACAGATCAGCATTGGTAGGTTTCAGCACTGAGATTCAGTGGATTGACAGATTCCAAATGCACATCATGTCTGCAGCCAGAGAGCCCTTCAGGAAACCCTGTCCACACACGTGCGCAAAAACAACTCACCACTTCTCCAATTAAGGCTGACAGGCTAGGAGCCACCTGGTTCATTTTGGAGCGGAGATACTCCTGCAGACCTTTGCGATACTCAGAGAGGGAGATCACCCGCCTGGAGAAGCTCTCAATGTTAATGAGATCAATGGGGGAAATGTCCATTCCTGCACGAAACCAGAGTTGGGGGAGAGAAATAAGGACACTGGACAAAGGCAAGGTCGTCTCCTGTGGGCTTTTAATCAGGATGCAGCACATAGCCTATAAAGAACCCAGGCACTTATTTTATATTAAAGCTGAAGCTGGAAACGGCCACAGGCAACTCAGGCGGTTTCAAAAAGGTAAACAATTCAGCCCCCTCACGTTTTCCTGAACAAGCCACATGCTTTTCTTTTCTACAGATAGAGCTGACCCAAAAAGCACGCCGCCTTTCAAATCCACGTCCTGATGTGCTGGCCAACCGCACTCACACGGATTGTGTCAGTTACTAACCACCGACCAATGGGAACAGGTCCGCTCTGGAACGCCCTTGCCCTGACAAGAGTAAAATGCCTCCAGCCTTCTTTTCTCCCTTGCACACTCACCCATCGAAGAGCGGGAAGCGTCCAGGATAGCTTGAGCCTTGGCGCTGTCCATGACAATTTCCTCCAGCCCCTCCAGGCTCTCCTCGCTCAGTTCCTTGCGATTCCCAATCAGTTTGGCCAAGCGGCAGTAGGTATAGTTGTCACTCACGATCTTGATCAGCTCTGGAAAGTGATAGCCGTACCACTCTCTGCGCCAGAAAGAAATAAGCGCGTGATGCAAAAGGAAGCCAGGCCTTACACGCGACAGTCAAGAGTCTTCCGTGACTTCAAACGCCAGACTTTCCTCCTCTGTTCTGCAAAGAAAGCCTGTGCCCTCGCAAACCAAACAGTTCAGGCACAGGACAGCCTGGCTGGGGTGCACGGAGGGCGCCCTTGCTGTTGCTCCCGTTTCTATACAGCCAGCGGTCGTAGCCAAGCTGCCTGTGGTAAGCTGAAGGAGACAGGAACGCCCTCTTCTCCCTGACGAGCCTCCCCCCACGGCCCCGTGGCCCGTGATTGAGGGGCCCGCTGGGCAGGCCTGGAGGAGTCAGGCGCAAGTCTGGCCCTACCCGCTCCGGCCACTCGTTCTCTCAGCCCAGCCTTCCTCGCCCAGTTGTCATGTGGGGAGGTCGGCGGACGGAGGGGGGGCCACAGCTGACAGGAGCCAACGGAAGGGGGCTCGCTCACCTGACCCGCATGGAGAAGGTGTTGATGTCCTTGTCCAGCTGGTCCAAGAGGCTGATGGACTGGATGATCATGTTGTCCACCCGGTTGACGTTGAACTTCACTTTGGCGCGGGAGTAGCTGTGCCCGAGCCCCAGCTGGGCCTTGGAGGCGGCCTGGGCGGTCAGGCCCTTGATCAGGCTGTGGAAGTGCAGCCGGATCCCTGCGGGGGGGCGGGCGTGAGGGTCCGGCCGAGGCGCCCCCTCCCCTGCCTCCCCGGCCCTGCTGC